CATAGGAATCATTGTGTGTTGTGAAGTCGATGTAGAAATCTCTGCACCACCTCACCCCAGACCTTCATGCAGGGGTCATATCAGAGATGGACAGGGGGTGTACTAAGGATGGGAGGGAGTGAGGCAAAGAATATGGCACTCTGCCAGATCCTTGGTTGGCACAAGAGATGATTGCAGCCAGAAAAATTTAGAGCAACCCTAAGGTTCCTCTAAGTTAGGGTATGCCTACACAGCAGCTGAGATATGTAATTTCTCAGTTTAGATAAATTTATACGTACACTCACTCTGCTCATGCTATAGGGTGACCATACATCCCATTTAGGCTGGGACACTCCCTTTTTTAAACCCTGTCCCTGACTTCCTGACTTTTTTGGCAAAAACAGGCCTTTGTCCCATTTGCTCTTGCCAACTGATCAAGGAGGGTAAGGAAGGATTCCAGTGTGGGGTGGCCTGGCAGGGTTTGAGCGACCAGCGACAGCCTCAAGCCGGGGTCCAAAAGGGTTCGAGTGATCAGCAGGGTAGGGCAGGGTTTGAGTGACCAGTAAGTAGTGACAGCCTTGAGCGGGTTGGGGGGGACAGCAGGGATCGAATGACCAGTGACAGCCTTGAGGCGGGGACCAGGCAGGGTTCGAGTAACCACTGACAGCTTCGAGTGGGGGGCCAGCAGCTGGGGCCAGCCCCGTGGGAGGAGGGGGGCACTGGGCCAGCCCCAGAGAGGGAGGGCTTGGGCCAGCCCCACGTGATGTCCTGTTTTTCCTTTGGGAAATATGGTCACCCTACCGTGCTAGCACACTAAAAATAGCAGGGTGACTGCGGAGGCTTGAGCTAGTCACTGGAGTATGTATCCAGGGGGTTGGGAGGGATTGTGCTTGGGCAGCTAGCCTGAGCCGCTGCCCATGCAGCTGTGACTACACTGCTACTTTTAGGCATTAGCTTCAGCAAAGCTAGCACATGTACATCTATTTGTGCTGGAAATCAATCGCTGTTGTGTAGACATTCTCTTAGATGGAGAGCCTCATCGGCCTCTGGCCAACTCAAGATTGGTGACACAGCAAGGTGGTTTAAATCCACCTGATGCCCTTTACCATCCTCCCCCAGCAGTGCTGAAAGTAAACTCAAGATACCTGAAGATTGAGCCCCTTGGCTGCAATTCAAAAACCCATTCTCTGATGTCTTGTACTTGCATTTATTTGTATTGATTTCAGGCTGTCTTCTGCCAATTTGATCTCTACTTCATTGATTTGCTTGCTTGTTTGTTTCAGTTTTTCAATTGACCTCATTGTCACTCCCCTGGTGGCTCTTTAAGGTAGTGCACAGCAGTTTGAATCTTTCTAGTCTGTTTTCAGCAAAGTCAGAGAGTAATTACTGTTCTAAAACCACAAATCAGACATGGGAGTTTGTTTCCTCTTTAATCCCCATTGTCATCAGGATTTTTTATTTTTGCTGATGAACAGTATATTCAAATTGTTTTAGGAGAGCTTGTTCATGTTGTGACAACGGAATTATCATTCCTAATCTCTGAGTTACCCTTGAGAAAGGAATGCATAGGGTTCTTCTAGGATGATCAGATGTCCCGATTTTATAGGGACAGTCCCAATATTCAGGGCTTTGTCTTACATAGGTGCCTATTTCCCCCTACCCCCATTTTGATTGTTCACACTCTCTATCTGGTCACCATAGGCTCTTCAGATTATATCAGGACAGCAATTAGATCTATACACATCCACAGTTGGTTTCCAGAAACATTTGGATTTAAGGCATTGCTTTGAGTTAATCACATTATAACACGTTAGTCAGATCATATTATAAATTGTGGTATATGTACTGCCTAGCTCAGAACAGTGTGATCAACATCACCTAATAGGACACAATACAGAGCATATGAGTAGTTAAATATTCAAAGTAGTAAAAATTAATTTTTAAAAGCAATTATTTGTTTAATCACATTTCATTGAGAAGTGTCTCCAACGGAGTTGTTTTCTAAGGATTTCAAAGCACAAAAGACTTTTTTTTGAAGAATCATTTAACTGAATCTTTATCCATAACAACCAGTTCACTGTGATCTGCTATCTCTAGTTAAATCAGTATTGAAAATAGCAGCTCACTTGATTGAGGGTTTGGGTTTCTGGGGTGAGGGTTGTTTTGGTGGTTTTTGCATTTCTTTCAATTAATCCGCTTCTCAATACTTAAAGATCTATATTTGTTTGGTAATTTTAAGAAGAATATTTAGTACAGGAAGAGTCTGGGGCCCTTGTCAAATTTGGAAAAACGCTTGCAAAAAAGGGACCAGTCCTATATCCTTTGTGTACTGAAAACTTCCATTGGCACTGAACATCACAGTGTGGGCTCTCCTTCCCTCAGCGGCTTCATGTGGAGTTTTGGGCTCACAGGAAACAGACGATCCGTCCCAAGTGCTACTAACTGTCTGAGGGCTTGTCTACACTGGACAGTGTTCTACTTTACCTATATCAGTATAGTTAATGTGGTACAACCTCTTCATTGTGAATGCATTTATAAAGGTGCTTTATACTAGCATAGTTATTCCCATATGAGAAGGGGAATATCTGTATTAGTACAAGATTAGTTTCAAGTCTACTCTTGAAAGGCTTTGCCCGTATAGTTATACTGGTATAATATACTAGCAAAGCCTCCTTGTGTGGATACGCCTAAATGAGCAAAAATGCACTTTCCAGACCCCTCCTGAGTGAAACAAGCTATACCAGCAAATGTACAGTTTTGCGGGGATAAATGTGTCTACACTATGGGCTTTTGCTGGCGCAAATCTGCTAGTCACAAATCATAACCACATCACACCCCTCACTGAAATAGCTATCCAGGCAGAAGTTTGTAATGTTGACCTTGTCTAAGTCACCTTAATACAAGTATAAGAGTGTCCATGCTAGGCTATTTACTCATATAAATATTTCAGTGGAAAAAAAATCACAGCTTTTACCAACATAGTTATACCAGTAAAACTATTAAATGTAGACCAAACCCAACTAACATAAACACTCCTTTCTGTTCAGCTCTGGGACAAGTCAACTATTTGTATTTTTCAACAAAAATTTCAAAATTTGATGCTTAGTTCAAAAGAGTTATTAGCATCTTTGAACCTTATTCAAAGTAACCATTACGTATTATACAATCAAATGTACTACAAACTTTTCTCACTGTGATCAGTTGAGGATGGTGGGAGTGGAGTACTGCTAGCTACCATTCTTCCTTTCTACATAAATGTTAAAATATCTTTTTTTAACTACTCCCTTCCCTAGAATCACCACACGTTGACATCCTTGTGGATTGATAACCTTTCTGCTTATAGATTGGTTAGAAAACACTGAAAAAAGTAAAGCTTTGCACGGTACAACAACATAGGAGTCTGACTTCATGGTCTCTCTTGTTCACACAAGGCATGGGAAGGTGTATTTGAAATCCCAAGAAACATATAGGGTATGTCTATACTGCAATCACACCCATGATTGCAGCTTGTGAAGACGTACACACTAGCTTTAATTTAGTTAGCTTGGGTCTCAGAGCAGTGAAGCTGTGGCAGCAGGAACTCCAGCATGACCACCCAAGTAATTACCCAGGGTTCTGGGCAGGTTAGTGCAATCTACTCTGAAACCCATGCTGCCATGGCTTCACTGTTTTGGTATCCAAACTACCTAGATTAAACCTAGCTTGGGTATGTCTATGCGAGCTGCATTCACACCCTGTGATTGCAGTGGAGACATACCCACAGAATATATGTTGTAGGTTGGCTGTTATAATCTAAAATATTGCATACAGTGCATACTGTAATAATACTATTAAATGCTTAAGAATTATTATGTTAACTCTCTGAGACATTTCACTTCTTATGGTTCACTGATTCTCAGGCAATGGAGCTACCTGGTGCTAAAGATCTTTCACATTTTGCTTTTTCCTCTGCTAAGACACTCCTCTTATACGCATGACATCTTTAATGGGTTAATTTGCGGCGATTAGCATAGCATATATGTGCACATTTATAAAGAATTGCTTTTAAATTCTAAAGATACGTTTTATCTTGAAATAGATGCAGTCATACTAGACATTATGGTCAGCATGGAAAAACTAAATCCATCCTCAAGTTTGCATTCTCCTTTTCCCAATATCCAGAGGTACAGCTGAGTAAAGTACATGTTCAAATCTCTGCCGAGAAACTGCTTTAATTTGAAATCTTGGGAAAACAGAAAATCCCTTCTGTTCTCAAAACACACATACTGGCTGAAGTTGCATTTTTTTTAATTGGTTAAACTTTTATCAATGAATAATGGTTATTCATCCAGCAATCTAATTATGGTTTGAAATAATTGTTGCACTAAACCACTGTCAGAGGATCAAAGGGCACTTGATAACAGAATCGTGAAGGGGAATTGTATAGGGCATGGGAACATAGTTAGGGGTAATGAGATAATGAAATTAAGAAAGGGAAAACTCTGACTGTGAATATGTGACATCTTGATAGTGAGATGTATCAAGGGTTGGAAGTTGTAGAAACTTTATCACATGGGACATTTAAAATTGGTCCAAACAAAACATGAGAAAACCAATGAGGAACCAGTTCTGCACTGGCAGAGAGATGGACTGGATGACCTAAGAGCTCTTTTCCATCTCTAGCATCTCTAAGAATGTTTGGATGAATACTTGGAATTCTCTATCTGCCTTCTTAGGCCTTCTCTTGTATTTAGTAGCAGGAGACCATTATCTGTGACAGTGCTTGACTTCATTGACAGAAGATAGCTTAAGTTCCTGTGTTTCTTATTGAACAAAGTTATGTTTTAGGATATATGGGACCGAAATATACCTGCTCCAGTTTAGCTACAGTAGAGAAGTCGAGGAGGCACTTCCTATCCTGTTGACCAATGTAATTTGACTGGCCTCATGGGAAATTTCAAATGGTGAGAGGCAAGTATGACTTCATTAACCTCTGAGATTTTGAAAGCTCTTTAACCATTTTCACTTTGTGTCTTTCACAGACCATCTGAAAGGAGAGATAACCCAGCGGCACATGCAAAGGGCAGCTCTAGGTAAGAGCAGAATATTCTTGTATGAATAATAAATAGTGCATTTGGAAGAGAGGGCACTTCCCAGTGTTTACACAGAGTGTGTAAGACGCAATGAACCAGATCCTCAGCTAATAAAAGTAGATTCACTTTGTCAAATCTTCAGGTGATGTACATTTACCTAGCTCCATTGCTTTCAGTAGAACTACCGGAGCATCTGACTCAATATGTTGCATTTAAAGTTGTTCCAAGGTAACCCATGACACTGCTGTCTATGAGAATTCCTTATGCAGTGTTTCAAAGAGATAAAAAACGTGTACACTCCAACTGTGTGTTCCAGTCTGCATTGTAACATCTGGCCTTGTCTCAAACATTTAATGGCTCCTGATTGTACATAGAAAGTAATGGGGAAAATGCTATTTTAAATAACTATTTAGCTGATTTTCATAAAAAAGGTAAGTATGGACTTTTTTTTTAAAGGCCCCAGGGTAAAAAACACAGCACCGACTCTGCCAGCTACACACAGCATTGTGAATATTCCATCAATTTTCCTCAATGTAATGTGCAGCCAGTGGATTTTGGCTTTTGTTTTGAACATTGCTGCATGCTTATCATCACTAAATCTGGACCACACAAAATATTTTCCAAACTTTTTTTCCTTCATTCTTTGAGCCTTTTAAATATTCTGTGTATTTTGATCTAATGTTTATTCTGTGAATTGGGGCACCTCATTAGCCTGCTTATCTTATTCGACATATATTCTTCCAGAGAATAGCAGGTCTCAGCTCTCCTAGAATCTTTCTTGATGACCATAAATCCATCAAGAGCTTTTTGAAGGAAAACTGCTTGGTAGGAAGCCTCATTAAGAGTTGGTAGAAATCCCTATATAAAATAATACATGCCATTTCAATTAGAATCCAAGAGTTAACATCTTCCAGCTGCTCTTCTATTTTATTTTATTTTTTACTCAAAGCACTTTTATGATCAGAACTCTTTAAGGAGCTCTTTTAGTTGGATTTTAAACATTGATGATCTGTTTCCCCTAATAGGCTCACTTCAAATGTGGATTTCTCATTGAAGGAAACCTCCCTGCTCAGCCAACTGTTCTTAGCTGTCTCATCTTTTAAATCACCATTTTCTGCATTGACAAAGCACTCAAAGAGACAGATGGGGAGTTTCAGTGGAGACAAAGAACATCAGATTGTTCTGATCTTCTGGTTCTGTAAAGAAGAAAGTGCATTTGCAAAAAGGCCTAATTCTGCCATCCTTACGAGCACTCAGTAGGACTTTACCATGCAAATAATTCCATTCTTTTCAATAGGAACACTCACAGAGTAGGGTATAACTAAGCATGACAAAGGGTGGCAGAATCAAGTCCAAAATCACCAGATTAACATTTCCTTTTCTCTTCTTCCATTCTTCCTGCTTTCCTTTTTCCCTTTCCACCTCTCTGATCGGCATAAAAACTACCTTTTCAAGCAGCATAAACTCTCCCAATGACATAGTGCTGTGCACACCAATGCGTATATCGGTGTAACTCATGTCACTCAGTGGGGTGTAATATTCACACCCTGAGCTACATAAATTTTGCCGACATAAGCTGGAGTGTAAACTTAGCATCAGATGACTCCTTTTCCCTCTCCCATTCTTTTTTTTCCCTTTCTTTCTTTTCACCACCCTTTTGCTCTTGTATTTTCTATCTCTCAAGCCCTCTACTGTCTTTCTCTGCTCTACTTTTTCACTCTCTGTTTCATGTTAAATCTCCATTTTTAGATCTGTCTCTTACACGTGGATGCCTTTATATGAGTGTACACAGGATTACAGTCCTAAAGTAGCACAACCTAGCATGGGACACTAGTATGCTTCTATTACTATAGAAAAAGGAAAAGCATTCCCCTGAGTTCGCTGTGCTGTAGAAGGCATCTGATGTGATTCAGTGGGCAGCCGTATCACAAGATGTTATCAAATGAAATTCCAGTAAAATATAGAGTCTCATTCCCCTCTATGTTACTCCAGGTTTATACAGCTGTAACTTCCCTGGAGTCAACAAAACCACTGGAGCTGCATTAACATAAAGCTGGAGTAACACAGAGATTCAAGCCCACGGTGACTTATAAAAGCCACAGTGAAACTAGATAATCTTTTAGTCTGTTATTCCAAGATGTTGCGGGTGAAACAATTATAAATAGTGAGCAATGTCAGTTAATGCACAGCAGCTATGAAATAAGTGCTGTCTTCCAACCAGACCTTTTCTGCATGTAAATTTCCTTTTTTTTTTTTAAGGCTTGGTACCAATTACATTAGTAAAAGCACCAGTTTCCAAGTGCTTTCTATGACAGTTCAGGGTAGCTGCACCTGTATTCCCCCTCTGTGGTCCAGCAAGAGCACCCACTCTCAGCTTCCGGCTCCCCAGCCATTACCTCTTTGGGAGGAGATACCTATCTGTCTCCTTTCTGACTGGGTAATTTCCAGCTGAACAGTTCCTTGACTATACTGTGATCTCCACAGCAAAAGACAGACTGCCTATGCAGGCCTGCTTCACTTCTTTCCTCTGAGATAGGACACAGTGTAGTTGCCACAGTTAAGTTACAAGCCCTTTATAAGCAGGTATATTTATTCTTAAGGCGGGAGCACTGGAACCTTGGTAGAAGTGGGAGGGCCATGAGTTCCTGCTCCTCTCCATGGCCTCACTCCCTGGTCCTCCTCTGCCCCCCTGAAACCCCACCCCTTGGCCAGGTCGGAAGCAGGAACCGGGCCATGGTAAGAGCCACCCAGGGATCCCAGACTGCCCTGGGGAGCCCCTGACGCTCCACCTGCCCTGGGCAGGGGGCCTGAGTGCAGCCCCAGCCTGTGTCCCTGCACCTGGGGTGTGCTTTCCGGGCAGGTGGAGAGTCCCGGGCTCCCCACAGCGGCCCAGGCTCCCTAGGTGGCTCTTACCGTAGCCCGGCTCTGGCTTTTAGCCTGGCCAGGGGTGGGGCCTGAGGGGGAAGAGAAGGAGCAGGGCAGGGCCACGGAGTGGCCAGACCTTGTGGCAAGGGGAGTCTAAGAACAACCTCGCCCCCCACCCCCTTCAACCAGGAAGAGGCTGGCACCACTGATGGGTTGTGTTTCGCAGTGGATACCCTGCTGCAAAGCACAGCCCCTACTGGCGCCATTCCGTGCCTGCCTGAGGAATGCAGTTTGTGGGGGCAACACTGCTCCCCAAACTATGCCCATATTAAAAAGTGGGCAGGCATTAAAAGCCTTAATGTGAAAGCATTACAGAGAAAACATATTAAAAAAAATAAAACAACCTACACACATACTAATAAGCTTACCAGAGATCACCCCCAAGTCCAGCAAGGGTGATTTAACCCTTCAAACCCCTCACAGGGGTTTTACCTATGATCACAAGTTCAGCATAGCTTCAGCTCAGAACCACCATCCCAGTGAGTTAGTAAGTTTATCCAGTTTGGGCTTTGAAGAGGCCATGAATAGGTAATCAGCCATACAGTGAGTTTCTCTTCAAGGTGCAGCTTCAAGTGGATGTCTCTCAAAGTGAGTAATTTGCATTCCCTTCTTCCTAATATTTCTTAGGAACCCTCACTCAGCTAAAAGCTCAATCTTGTCTGGTCCACTGTTTCAAAAGAGTTCTTTGAAGAACATAATACTTCACAGTGTTTATAGTAGTCCTGTCTCTTTCCCTTAAAAGACGTTACATACCATTCCACAATAATACATAAATACTTGTGTTTTAATACAATGACCTTCTAAGATACTTTGACTTAATTCACTAAGGTTTGTCCAGGATATTGTCATATGTGTCACACCTTCCACCTGTCTCATCCAGCTTTCCCTATAGAGTGTCACACTCATACAGATGCTTTTTTAAATGTTCTCTCTAGATTGCAGTAAAAGGCATATTCTGACTTTAGGGTTTCAAAGTTTTTGGAGTGACATGGCCCACCGATAGCACTTAGATGTCCACTTAACAAAGAAACACACCAAAAGCAGCTAACTCACTTGCTCAGCTAACATGGAACCTACTTGTTTCTCTCTCTCCAATACTGGCACGTACAATAAAAGAGTTGACAAGTTCTGTGCATCCTCATTAGCTTCAACCAGCTCCATTTGCTCTCTTTTCTCTCACCTTCTCTTTTCTCCCATTCTTCATCCCAATTTTCTACCTTTGTTTTTTATATATGTTTTTAAATCCCTTCTACCACTGAGCTACCTGTTTTGGTAAGAGCCTGCTGAACATATTAGGAAATAGCAACACTAGTCAGTGAATGAGAAATGCTGCTGCTTCCAGGGATACTCATTTAGGGCCCAATTCCACCACCTTTATGGTCATTATGTAGTATATATCTCTGTGAGTGATACCATTGTTTTCAGTAGGGCTGCTTGCCGAGGAAGGTACAATTTAATTTGAGGACTTGTGGCACCTTAGAGACTAACAAATTTATTTGAGCATAAGCTTTAGTGAGCTGTAGCTCACAAAAGCTTATGCTCAAATAAATTTGTTAGTCTCTAAGGTGCCACAAGTCCTCCCTTTCTTTTTGCGGATCAGACTAACACGGCTGCTACTCTGAAACCAATTTAATTTGAGTAAGGGTGGCATATTTGGCTATCAGGGAGGAATCTATCTTCAATTTCAGAGTCAAAAAGTGTCTTGTTTTGTGAGCGTTCTTATTACAAAATTCTGTTTTACCAGGATTTATAACTTAGCTGTCGAAACTAGGTTTGATGAGAAACTTGGTGTTCATGCTCTAGTCTTGAAGGAGGCATGCTCCAATCTCATTGAGCAGCTGAGCAAAACTTTTTTTTTTAAAGAACCCCACTCCCCACCCTATGTGAAACGGCTCGGGGAGTCAGAGATGGTTAACTCATTTCCCATTGTCTGTTGATCTCCTTGGGTCCCCACAACCAGATGTCAACTGCCATCTCCTATGTTTGATTCAGAGCTCTCAGCTCTGGCATAGGCTGTTAGCAGGAGTCTTTAGTGCAGTTTACTCCTGCATTTGATGAAGATGGGACATGATCAT